TTTTCAGTCATTTTGTATTACAAACGGGAAATTGATGCCCCAACACCCGATTGGGCTGTCAATTTCCCGTGCGTAATACAAAATGACTGAAAAACGGCAAATTTCGCATGGCTATATTATCCGCATTTTACAACATTTCGCAACGCTTTTCTTAACTCGAGCAACATTCCCGCGTGGATGTTGCTGCCCTGGATGTTGCTGCCGCACATTTTTCAGCATTTGCCATTAAACTAATCTACTCTATGCGCGTCGTTTCACGTTCTGTATATCAGACCTTGCACCCACGTAATTATTTCTAATGACCGTCTGATTGACTTTCCACATAATAAATATTGTTTTTATACAGTTTATAAAGTGTGTTGCCATGGTGATAATTTTTATCCAAAGTGAAAAGTAATTGAAATTTTGATCATTAGAATATTATTTAAATAAAATTCTAAATAAAATTCTGTTCTAGTGGTATATTTGTTCACAGGTTGCAATATATTTTGAAGAGTATCAGATGACACATCTTATAATGTTTGAGGAATGTTAAAGAGATTAAGATAAAAGGTTAGTTACGATTCTCTCATTTTGTGAGACCATTCTGTGCTGTATTTCTATATTTATTTATATGTCATGTATATTTTAAACCATTCTATCGCAGCTGTATCGCTTTTAATTCGCAAAACTGACCTCTGTTTTTCTTTTCCTAATTTGCTCAGCAGCTTGATAACGAAAACGAAGTAAAAGCCATTCACATTTAAATTGTTCATGGTTAATGTTAATTGAGCTTTAACTGTCTTAAATTAGTCTGTTTTCAGCAGGAGTGGACTAAAATGTATCTGTTGAAGTTAACGGAGCCATAGACCTCCATAGTCTAAAGCCCGGATCAAATGAGGATTCGCGAGTACATGAGAGTTGGCAGGTTATAGTTATAAATCAATTTATTGGACCGTGTCGAAGCGGTAAGAGTGCAAACGGGACTCAAAGTCCCATGCGAGGCACTCCCCCGTTACAAACTATAAACATTTGTTAAAATATTTACATAATAATAAGTGTGAAAACAACATATGCCAAATGCTTGAGCAACAACTCATTCTCAGAACCGCACGCAACTAAAATGCTCGAATAAAGGCACGTTTACACACAACGATCTAAACGACAGTCACGCGACCGTGGTTAGCTGTTCTTAGTTCTTTCCCAACACAAGTTAGAATGTACATCGTTGGAACACTCGTCAAACCTTTATTTTGTTAATCTAGAGCTTGAAATGTCCCCTGTAACAATACGTGACTGTCATCCTCGCTTGGCCAGCTGCATATAGGACTCCTCTAAATAATCAAAGAAAAACCTTTTCCATTCACTCTGCGTATTCCATTCTGATTTGGTCGCCCAGGACTTCGACAACGCCGGGAGAGTACGGCAAATGAAACGTAAAAATATCCCCTGTCTGTTGACGTCACCAGAGTATTTTTCTTCACAATATACGTGACTGCCAACTCTCATCCACTCTCATCCTCGTTTGAGCGCGGCTCAAATTCGAAATGGCTGCTTCGAAACTTTAAAACTTATAGTTGACTTACAATTCTGAAATTACAGGCCAACTCAAAAAATCATTTGAAGGCAGTGGAGCTTTCTAAACTTGGGGCTATTGCTTAACATCAATGGCTGCCCGCCCACCCCTACAAAATAAATCTACAAACATGAACCATAGAAATTATAGATATCGACTATTTCTGTGGCGTAGTGAACTAAACGGAAATTACTTTTGCATGAAGTGGAAACTTTGTTAATTAAGTTGTTTGTTAAACAAGTTAGACTACGACATAGTTGTAATGTGATAAGTGCTAACCTAGCGCCCTCATTTCCGCGCCCACGAGCGTCTGTGACGCAGGCTATTGGTTGCGGATGCACTATCCAGTTATAATTCTGAGATCAGTGCTTATGTACCAGTGAGCTCGATATATGTCTGGACCAAGAACTTCAGTCATTCGGTCTATGAGAAAAGTGAAACCAAGATGGCGGCCATTGACGTCCAATTAGTCTTTCTCACGCCTCCATTTTTGGGTGGCTTTTCAGCTGAAGTCTGTGAGATGATAAGTCCACATAACAGCGACTTTTTATAATTTTTTTGACGAATGATGGTAAATTTGCTTTGTAAATGGTTAGTTTATGTTGAAAAATTGATTTTCACATCGTTTTAAAAGTGTCTGCATTGGTTAACGAGAATTAGATGCCACCCAAAAATGGTGGATATTCGTCATCGTGAGAAAGGCTAATAGCTCTGAAGGTGGTAAATAGTTTTTATACTCCATTTTCCCCAGCTAAATCCAGTTTCATAAAATCCCCATTCATAAAATCCGGCACAATATTAGTCTTCAAATCGAAGTCAACTCCTCCACAGTCATTGAGGAGCCATAGGACGTCAGTTCCAGTCCCTTTCTATTTTTGTCTGCGCGGTTAACACGAAGTTGGCTTCAGTTTTTGGACTCGTGTTCTCGCTCCAGATATATATGGAGATCACTGGTACGTGCGTCGTATTGTGGTCAGCGTTATTTCGCAGAAGTACACCTGCTTGAACAGGTGTGTGAAGTGTATATGAAATGATGTTGACCTTTTTTTGTATTGGCCAGTTAATGCTGTTCATTTTACCTGCTCGGGGAATGACGCACAACAAAGGGTAAACTTCCGAAGATAATTATAGTCGTGTTAACGACGCCTTAGCAATTTAGTTAATAAGTGTCTGTATTTCTCACTTTAGGAACTCGCATTTTGGCGGTCTGGAAACTCCAACGTGTAAAGGTATATAAATATTTTTCTTTAACTTTTAGGAGGCTGTTTTGTTTCAGCGTTGATATAAGTATTATTTATCAGGTTTGTTGCAGTTTTGCATGCGGCGTGTGCGGTTAGCAAAATTTTAAAAAGTTGCCAAATTGTTTTTCGCACACATAGTCCACAGATAATAATATATAATAAAGACAGTTATCGCATTGATATTTTGTCGAATAAATTTGATTCAATGTTATACATTTTATTTGATATAGTACATATTAAGGACTATAAGTAAACAATATTAGACTATGTTCGGCTTGTTGCTTAACCTAGATATATTATATAGGAATCGAACCGCGGTAGCTTTTCTGAATAAGAACTTTCAATATGTACACATGTATGAGTTCATTTATTTTGCGCCTATACGTATATCACCACTAAATAAATACGAAAAGTCGAAGGACTATATAGCTACATATTTCAACGACGAAAGATGTATGAGTGTCGAAAAGTAGTTAAGATATATACTTTTAGAAATCAATCGAACCAGTTTAGTTGCAAAATATGCTGAACCCTGCTCGGTAGCACAAGTGTACTACTGTTCACAAACATCTTTAAACAAATATTCAATTTTGAAAAAAAAGGAGTAGCTCCGTTTGTAAGTTGAGCGACAGCAGCGATGTGAAGGACATACTACTACCCGAAAGATATGAGCAGAATGTCGACGTGCGAAGACCCTTCATTCGCTCCTTTAACTTCGCGATGAAGGGCCTTCGCTCGAAACTTCGAAGTTGTGCTTGTATTTTTCAAGTAGTATAGTATGTCCTTGACCCCGCAGCTGTCCGCAATCGACTCTACCTGCCCTATATGGCACCGACCGTGTACATAAGTATATTTGTAATTTCTATTCCATAGTGCTGGAACATACTGTACTCATTATTTCGGAGTATCCCTTCTTGCTATATATGCCTGTAGAAAAAGGACATCTTTTTACAAATATCTTTGAAATTGGGGTTTTGAGGGGAACCCTAGATACGATTTTAAAGACAATTCAGCTTTTTTAATTTGGTCCAGAAATTTGTCCGTCTGGCACACCTATATACAGCTGCTCAGCATTTTTATCTCGTTGCATATGGCTTGCTTTCTTGGGCAGAGTCTCGCAATAATGAAGTTGGGCATGCCATTTTTGCGATGGAAACTCGTCTAAACTACAACGTTTGTACTAAGAAAGCTTCGAATTGGTACATCTACCTGA